CCCATATTTTTTTACTAAATACTCAATAAAAATATTTAATCAACTATGTGTATGCGTAAACACATGCATCAATGAGGAGTATAAAAGTACGATTTTTGTAAAAGTAATAGTTAAGAATTCAATCTCCCCTGAATAATCATTACAAATATTTCTCAACCTCTACGCATATTGGAAAGATGAACTATTGCAATTGACCTTACCACAATGTTGTAGAAAAGATAATCTTCACGGCAATAATATCAGATCTGTTCTAGAGAGAAGCAACAAAATTTCTCATTTCCCATTTGTTTAAAGGAGCCAGCACGGCACAAAGAGTTCCGAGAGGTGAATTCTAAGGCCTTTATTTTCTTGACATGTCTTGTTTGACGTGAAACGTTACTTGCGCCCGGCGCCTGCCGGTCCGGGCGAACGAGAGCTCTGCTCGGAAGACGGGCCGCCTGCTGTGAGGGCTGGCTGTATGTCTCTGCGTGTTGTGACACTCGGGGCGCCCCAACGCACACTGCGCCCAAAGCGGAGCGCACGGGAAATCTCCTTGCCTTCCACCATTATCATACTCACTGGACTGGAACAATGACTAGAAATCTTGTTTGCCAAAGCTTCATTCAACGACGATACTATTTGTAATTGCTTTATTTCACTGAAAGCATTGCTGCTAGTAGCATTTAAACGTCTGTCGTAATTGAATCCTAAAAGTTAACCTGAAAAGTAGTTAATGAAAATGAAACTATATATATCATTTTATTTTAATTTATCACGCCATTCTATTTTAATTTATGCATGTCTATATTAGACAAAAAAATATATGTCCGCATTTTGTATAAGAAAAGAACATGGCACAAATCTGAAGGGAATGAATAAAACCTTCCAAAGAACTAATGAGTCAAAAACGTATGTTATCTTTTTCGTACAAGTCACTTATTAAGAGATAAACAGATAGTTCAGCGAGGCTCGTGGCTCTATGAGCAACTGAAATCAGAACCTTAAGAGGAGTGTGTTCATGTTTTTGCAAATTCGGACGTAGAGGAAGGAAGAACTGATTCAGCGAAAAAAAAGAATAAGTAATGTAAAGGTGCTTAACTTCGTGATGTGGAGCAGGCAGAAAATAATAACTAGTGGTGCTACAAAATGGCACAGGTTTTTTCGTAACAGTTAATTCACATTTCTTTGGACTGGGCTAGCTTTTCGGTCTTGGCCAATCCTCTTGCCTGGTACCATCGATCACCGCCAAAAGTTGTTTTTATTAATTTATTGTTTTCCTAACGAGAGAACCAAAATATTGCTTTAAGAATATTAAAGAAGACTAAAACATTGTCCTACAAGGAAATATTCGTTGAAAATGTAGAGAGCGCTTGTATTTAAAAAAAGTTGTTTAAGAGTTAATGTAAATGCAAAATTTGAAGCTCCTTTTTACAGAAAACTATTGAGTTTACGAAAAACTTCACTGGAAGTCATTTGAACCACTTCCACTCACAATGCAATAATGTATATAATTTGCTGAAATCTGGGTATTAATGGCGTAAGAGATATTTCAAAAGAAAATAATACGCGTAGTTTTTTAAAAAAAAAACACAACAAAATGGCTTTTATATCATCTTACACAGTGCATTAAGCTCTATGCGTACAAAAAGAAACTTTGGAGCCGTTTTTTCTAAAAAGGCGTTTGCGCGCTCCTGAAAATGCCGAAATTTGAGCTCATTTTGACAGAGCACTTTGAGTTTTCGAGAAACTTTATAAGAATTGAAGCACTTGTTTTTACAAATTCTTTTGTCTATACACGTGGCGGTAATGTAAATATGTATTAACGACGTGAGAGAAGTCCAAAAAATGTAATTTTGAAGAAACAAAAGAATAGAGCAATAGAGCGTTTATGTCATCAGTTACAGCAAATTTAACATTATATCCACCAAAAGTTTCAATAACAAATTTGGAACCATTTTTTGAGAAATTCTTGTTTTTGTTATTTTGTAATATTACACTTATTTCTCGCAATATTGAATGAATACTACCAAATATTTTTTTAAAAAAATTGTAAGACTTAATGAAAGAACTAATTATTGAGAAAAAAATCAGTTGAAGGAAAAATGTATATCTTCAATTTTGTAGTTTTAGGATGACGCCGAAAAAATGGAAGCTTCTGCAGTTTTCGAAAATTCAAGAGTTAACAGGGAATATCATTATAAGTGTATTTCACTCAATTCTTACCAGAAATTTAAAGAAAAAAATTGAAGCCATTGTTGAGAACATTTTGAAAATGTTGAGGTAGTTCATGTAAAGTAGCGCAAAAAATGAATGTTATTTAAAATCACACAGCTTCTAGTGAGGCAAGAGTGACCGGAGAGTATTCAGTTTGGAAAAATCCTTCGCATAGTTTAGACACTACTATTGTTCACAAACCAATGGACTTTTGAAGGAAGGAAAAAAGGGGGGAAAACTACTTTTCCGGTATCAGAGGATCACAGAACGTGTTACCGTTGAAGTCTCTAAATCATATTTCCGTACCCTTACATAATGTTCTCTATTCTACATATATTACTCCGTACAACGAAGTAATATACGTGGTAGAGAAAGTTATTTAAATCGTACAAAATTTGCTTTTCGTACTTTTGTGGCCGTGGCGTCCCACTGTGTGCCACGGCGTTTGCGAGCTACGATCCGTCGTCCTGTCGTCCCCAGTAGATAAAGCGCCGTGACTTGCCGTGGGTAGGCAACCCGCCGCATTAACAAGTTGAACGGGATGCCTTGTTTGACGCTACAGGAGATGCTTGATATGGCAGAGTAATCACGAATGGTGACCATTTGAAATCGGAAAGTTGTTCGAAGAACGTGTAGCAAAAGAGGAGTTAATTAAGACCAGAAATAATAAAATATTATATACTACATCCCGATCTTCAGAGGCCTTGCTCTGAATTGAGTTTTACGAAATGTGCAAGTGGTACTGTGCATAAAGAAAAATTCGAATGTATTTAAGCGTTTTTTTCTAACGGGCTTGAAGTCTTTCGACGAAACAAAAAGGAATAACAAACTATTTATTTTTATTTAGAATTTGAGATTCTTCACATCTTTGACTACCAGTGCCAGTGAATGGAGGTACCCAGAGGAGCTCAACACCACAAAATGAAACAGTAGTTTGACAAGACACACCTCTAAATCGCGTTTTGTAAAACGAAAACCCTTTCTGTAATATAATGTATACACATCAGTAGTTTGAGACATTCTATTTGTAAAGATATATTGTATGCAATGTATGAAAAATGAGCCTTAAAAGAGCAGTGATAATGTACGCGATATATTGTATCAAATGTAATATTAATTGTTTTTCAACATTGGCGCATTGGCATTTTTACTTTCCGCTACTGCTGACGAAGTATAGAAAAAGTATTGTAATGCCAAAAACCGCGGGTGTTGGACGTAAAAACTCTTATTGCCGGGCCCTGGCAACGAAAAAGTGAATAAATCTTCTTATCTGAAGTAAATTACTTCATCTGACCCGTTGAGTAGTCGGAATTCACGTTTAGAGGGTCCTGGCCAAAAATTTGATTGACGAGAAAACGAGTGTCGTCTGTCTGTGGTCAACTCTAGCGGCTAAACCGGAAGCAGGATTTGCACCAAATCCGCGGTTGGTTGATGACGCGGCCCTTTTCTTTCCATGTTTCTTTATTCCTACAACCGAGCTAGACTCTTCGTTGTCTGCTGTCCTGTGCTCTGGCTCGACAGCCCCATATGGGCCTTGACCGACTAGCGGTGCCGCAGCCTCTCGGCACTGGGGTAAGGGGTTCGTGTGGTTAGAGCGAAGACATTCCTTCACCGTATATTCTGCTCTTCATAATTTTAGGGTAGGATTTATTATCATCACACAACAATAAACCCTGGGACATTTCTAAGGAACATTAGCATTAATTTGCAGTTATAATTTTGTCCCTACCGGAATTCCCACTCGGGGTTGCGCCTGGAATGCTAGCACGTTAATCAACGAGCCACCAAGGGCTACCCGAGTTCTCAGTGCGCTAATTTTTAATCTTTAAAAATACATTCCTAATTTTAATTACGGCTGGCTCTTGTAGAATAATATGGATAAATAACTTGAGAGATTTTATTGGTTTCTCTGTTTATCACATCACTTATTGCACAATAATATTTTAAGGTAAACATCAGCAACATAAAAGCCAGTATCGTATTGAAATGGATTTTAGGCTGGAGATGCAAGCAATTAAAGATGTGGGATGTATCTACGTCGCTCAGTTACTATTGTATTTTTCACCAACTAAACCTACTGCCCTCTCTATTTCTACACATTCGACCTATTTCAGTTTTTCATTTACATAATGATTCATTTCATTTAAAAAACACTACCATCTTCTCTTCCATAGATGAGCAAAAATATTTATCTTGTATTTTGGAGAGAAACGCTTAGATATTGAATTTTCTTGACATTTTCTTTCCTATAACGTCCAGAAGGTTGTGATTAAAGGGAGTCGAAACTATATGTCTAAGTATTAGCAGAAAAAGGATACGTTTTTGAGGTGCAAACGACGAAAAAGGAAAATTAGTGAGTTGACGGAATTTGAGTGCGTATTACGACAGCGCTGTATCGACCTGCGACCGCAGACTCTCAGAACTGCAGACCGCCAAACGATCGTCAGAATTGCATTGCACTCGCTATTTGCTAATGACATCAATGACCATCCGAGTCTACGGACTTACAAGTCTTATGAATGTACACTAATTTCCGGTGATACACAAGTTGCGACAAACTTGCAAGTTTAGAAAAAAACCAACACTTTTTACATGAGTATGCTTCTGAGGCTAAACAGTAAACGAATTATTCACGTCTAAAAGTATGAAGAACACCCTAGTGTGTGCTTTACAGTATGAAATGACTAGCATGTATGTGTATTATCATGACTGTTAAGTGTATGTAGAATGTGCATCCCGATTTAATAGTATTCCTCTGCGTTCGAGTGTGGAGCTAACGTGCGCGCCGCCCTCTGCACCTGTTCCAGACAAAGCAACGCGCGAGCGCACGCTGGAGCGCGTGTGGCGGCGCCACGACGGCGCCATCCCGCTCGTGCTCTCGCTGCTCGAGGTGAGTGAGCGCGCCCACGCTTCGCTTCTTCATATCCCAAGGGCTTTGGGAGGGGGGTGATCGTAGTGCGAACTGAATAGTAATCCTGTTCACTGTTGTCGAGCTCTTGAGTTTAGAAACGTTTGTAAGAAAACTTAATCGTGTTGAGTTATCTTACCTGGAAAACCCGATTACTATTCATGTACAAAATAACAATACATACAAAAGTAGACCTGAATATGTTTTATAGTTTGCATCCGATAAAAATATTTTGTTTTTAGTTGTTGTTACGTCTGTTTGAAAAAAAAGAATATATTTTCTTTTAACCTAAGGTTCACAAGAGACCCTTGCAATACAACACACTTTGGGATAAAATGTATACACCAGTTAACAAAGTGCTTGAAATATTGAGATTGTTTTATCGTAGTTATGAATTGAAAATTTTGTTGAAATCTTTCATAAAATAGCATAATGTAGGTTGACAAACTTCTTGTCTTCATCAGTTAAGTAGTATCTCACATTTTTTTAATATATTCTTCTTCTTCTTCTTCTTCTTCTTATTCTTATTATTATTATTATTATTATTAACGTAATACTTGTAGTTCGTATACCATGCATATTACTTTCATGCAAAGAGATGTCAAAAAATATCATTGTTACCTCATGATTTGTGTTATTGTTGCCGCGCGTAGCGTTTGAATTTAAAAGAATCCTAAAAGTATCTTGGAAAATGAAAAAGATGTGCTTAATGACCATACTCGTATGAAGAGTCGTCATGAATTGCGGCCAGTAGACTGAATATCGCAATCGTCGCGTGGAAGCGCTGAGACATCGGAAGAAAGCAGGAGAAACGGAACAAGAGCTTCTTTGGGGCTACTTTTATGCGTATTTGCGCCCCACTTTTAGTTGATTGTTCTTCCCCACTCGCCCGCCTGCCGCCCCCTACTCTATAGCCCCTCCAGCTCCCGCGCCGCGCCGCGACGTTTCCATCAGCGTTTTTGGCCGCGGCCCGAAACGGCGCCCGGCATGCGAGCCGGAAACTTTTCTCATCTCGCGGCCGCTTCCGCATAGGGCGCCGGAAGCGGCGCCGCCGGCGAGGCGGGGACGGGGCGGCGAGGACAGGAGAGGAGAGGAGGGCAGGGCGACTCCGAACGCCCACCCGCGCCCGGGGACGGGGCAAGCGCATCCAGCTGCGCGATTCAACTGTTCTAGGAGACGCTACCAAGCAATGAACTTGCAGAGGAAAACTATATAGATTGTAACATTATATGGATGCAATTGGATCAAGTTGCAGACACAATGACGTCATCACAAAACTTGGAGAAAAAATCTTGGACAACAACCCACTTTTTTAAAATTATATAATTATATTTTTGTCGTCTTGTTCAATGCTTCCCGTGATTGATCTACTTTGTGTAATGTTAGTGGGTTAACAATAAAAAGGCGGAACTATATGCTTTACGCTGCACCAGTGTTAAATCACTTTCGCAGAGAACATCAACAATAAAATTCTAGTTTGCTTAAATATATTCATAACTAATGCACTCGGCACTGCTTCGCAATTGCAATATATTGCACTTCACAGGCTATCTGTCATTGTGGTACCGGTGATTGTTAATTACGTTACATGCTAAGCTCTCCAAACATTTTAATGAAAGACTTTCTCGCGAGTATTGGTTTGTTCTGTCCTGGTTTGGTCAAGAAACCTATTGTTAAATCGTTCTTCCTCACGTTCGGGCATGCATTCGCTATGGCACTAAGAGAAATTTGATTTACTTGGAGATAATATTTAAATAATAATTCAGGCCGATAGTTCACAATCGCAGCAGCAGAATATGCAGCAAAGACGCGCTTAATACTTGAGCGTACGGCGGGTTGCGTATTGCAGCGTAGTTGATCAGGGGCGCTTGATTCAGCATAAACGCATAAAATAATCACCAACCCCCCCTTCTGTGTCTATGTGCGACAGGCATTCGCATATTCCCATTGTACTATGCCTATATTCTTCACGCAAGTGCAAGCAATAAATTGATATTTTATCGCAATCGGATAAATGGTACGGGAGCGCATAAAATACGAACAACACGGTTGTTTTTTACTTTTACTTTTCTGTATACACACGTATATATCGAGTTATATACGTAGGAAGGGAAAGTTATGTAATGCTGCGGAAAATCGATTTCCAGATTTCAACGGAAATACGTTTTGGGTTCCACAGATACCGAAAAAGTGTTTTTTTTTTCAAAATGGCTGTCCGTCCGTCCATCCGTCTGTCCATGCGTCCGTCTGTGAACCATACCAGCGCCTAAATCATGCGTAGGAATTTTTCCAAATTGAAAAAAAGAATTGTCCATTGAATCAAGTCGAAGTTTTGATATTATGAAAATCATTTTTTACAATTTACGTGTATGTTACACGAAGCCCCCCCCCCAGACATTTTCAAAATCTTCTTGAAAACAGCTCTAAACTTTTTCTTTAAGTATTTTGTCAGAATAGTGTATACTATTCTTATCGAGGCGGCATAGTTCCGATTTTCACTGATATCTCAATTTTCGAAAGTTGCAAAATACTTTTTCTTTCAAATTAAATTGAAGTAAAGTCGCGAAGAATATTGATATCGTAGTTTGAATGCATTCATAATGCGGTATGTCTTTAGTAGTTTTTAGTTCCGGATTTTCAATTTATATGTGAAATTATCCTTGCTTTTCTGTTCGATGTGCAGGGGAAAATGCGGGCAGTTAGAAATAATGCGAGAAAGTATGTGCTGTTGGAGCAGCACTAGTTTAAACTCTGGAGTGCCTGGGAAACGCTCGTGCCGCGACCGGGTGATTGATGGCCCGATCGTCGGGGGTGAAAACTTTGCACGTTCAAATATTGCCAAGGAAAAACATTTTTAGGATATTCATATGATATTTTTTAATTAACGGTTGCCATTATAACTGAACTGCTCAGAAGGCTAGCCAGATGATGCTAGTTTGCGTTCAAACGGTAGCGGATTTTCGAGATGAGCCAAGTAACTGGTGGCAAAACGCCATTGCGTGGACGAGGTGTCGAGAGACCGGATACTGTAGTTAGGCGTTTACCTGGTTATTTCCGATGTATCGCGGTCCTCCCTGCCCATCGTGCCCATATCGTTATCTTTACGGCCCGCGCAGTTGTCCAATCTCCGCCCCAATTTGGTTCATTCGAGAAGTAAGGGGAAAACTCCAGTAGTACCGCGATTAAAAGAATGTGGGGTTAAGGCTCCAATTGAAGCACACAGCCGTAATCACACTTCACGTCTCCCTGAAGTTGCGCATCGTCTAGGTCATCTCATCGTCACTGTTCAAATTCTTGAAGGTTTCGTTATAAAATGTACCTTGTTGTCGTCAATTGCTAACTTTACCTTTGCTCCACTTCCTGCTGTTGCCCTGCATGGTGATATTCGTCTCCTATATTTTCATTTGGAGCAACTCGGTCAGCGACCGCGCACCCTCGTTCTGAGCTGCCTCTGCTCGCCTCTCGTTACCTCGCAATCCTGGGACGCGGCGCGGCGCGTTGCCTGCATCTGAGGCACGCTGCCCGCCTGACATGGTTTCCGGAAGGAATTAATCTCCACGCGCCATGCGGGCGGTTCCCGCGGCGCGCCATCGCGGCGGCACGCCATCGCGGCGCCCGACCCCGCGATTTATAGCGCCCGCTATAGACAATTGGGCCGGTGCGGGCGGACGCGGCGGCGACGCCTCGCGCGCGCCCCCGAGAGGACGAATGCCACCCTCGCCCCCGCCCCGCTCTTTCTCGTTACTGGTACGGCGTCGCGCCCGCAACGCCCGCTCCCGCTCCCGCTCCCCGCCGCCCCCGGAAGCGCGCTCCGGCGCCAGGCGTCGGCGTTTGTTAGGAGCTGCGTGCGCCGAGAGCGGAGGAACGCCTTCACCCGGAGGCGAGCGATGCCTGTCATGTTAAGTGGACGTTAACACCCGAGGCACAATTTGGGATTCTCCGAGTTGTTTTCACTTACCCCTGGGGGGGGGGGAGTGTAAGAGCGACGTTTTTCTGTTGGGCCACACTGACTGGGAAATAAATCACAAACTATTTTTGGGCGCCAGATTTGTGTTTATAATGAAACGTAGATTTGTATGTAGGTTGTTGAATCCAGTCGAGTTGCGCTTCTCATGCATTCATTGTTCTACTTTTTGATTGCGTACGGTTTTTGATACAAAATTATATTTATTAAACAAAAAATAAATTAATTCAATTTTAATATAAATATACACAATTTCATTATAAAACGTTCTGTCTCCATTATTTGTACATTGTAATTATTAAAAGAGATCAAAATTTGCTTAAGGAGGAGTAACCTTACATTATCTCAAAGAGTATACCTCGGCAATCATTGGAGGAAACGAACACTACGTAATATATTTTTTAATACTGTCCACCATTATAGCGCAGCTTTCTGTGAAGCCTATCTATAGAACCTTGAACTGAATTCTTTATGTTCTCATGTTCTCCGTCGCCTAAGTCCGACGTATTTCCAATAACGTTAGCATCAGCTTTAATGATATGCATTTTATGCGTCCACGGAACAGCCTTTGAAAGTGACGTCACGGATGATGATGATCACCTTCGAAATTTTGCCCAAACAGCGACCTTAAAAGGAAAGTGGCTGTTGCAGTCATTTAGCGCGCATTCAGGGATTGGAGAGATTGCCAGACATTCTAGCGCCGGTCGATGTGGCTTTGCCTCCGAAATGATTGTGTCGTTAACTTAGGCGATCGTTAGTAGTTCGCTTCTCAAATAATAGGAATTAGTTGAACTAATGAATGGCTTTACAACATTTTAATTCATTGAATTAGCTATAAACGTTAGGCATAATTCCATTACTTAGCGGGAGCGGACTTACAGCTAGAGATTATCTCCTATGATGAAGAAGCGATGCCTTCAATAGAGTTGTGTCAGTAGAGATGTCTCCGTGGTAGAAATCCAATACTATTAAGAAGTTATTGTTCATTAGTGCACATCTTTTCTGTTTTTAAGTGAGT